GAAGTCTTTTGTTGCAGAGAAGTTTCAATCATCCGTTTTTCATAAGTTTTTAAATTTGGTATTTTCTGCTTGTTTGTATTCTTTGAACATGAACATACATGTCGAAAGGCGAATTTGATCATATAGCATAATTCATTTTGTTTGTCTTTAAATGTTAAGAAAATTACTCTCTCTTAGTAGACAATTTGAATTTTAACTAAAAAAAAAGATTAATGTTAATTAAAAACCTTATATGGTTGGGAATATGAATTACCAATTTTTTTAACTATTAATCTACCAAGTTGTCTACCATATTCAGTTAAGGTGCAAGAAAATGCCTATCAAATAATATGATACATATTTCAGCTACCAAATACCCTGAATTCGAGTGTAGTTTTGAACAGGCGGCAACACCATTATAGGTAGTTTGGAAATTAAGCCTTTTCAAAACCTATTCGATTCTCATACCCATATCGTAATAATTCATTTAAGTTATTAAATAATTTGAATTAAATTTCTTAAAAAGGTGGCAACTCTCTTCCAGATATTCACAAACAACAACGTTCTTAAACCTCTTTCGACTGACGCGCCTACTGTAATACGTATTTCAGTTATGTAACTCAAGTCTAAGTTAAAATTTAAAACAGGTGGCAACCCTCCTACATGTAGTTTAGAAATAAAGCCTTTTCAATTCCATATTGGTTGATACCAATGGGTAATTATTTATTTAATTGAATTAAATTTTTTAATAGGTGGCAACCCTTTTAATGTTCTTACCTAGATACATATGTAAGAACCTTTTAAAAGCCGCATGATCCAAGCGAAAGTAAAAAACGTTGTGGATAATATGGAGCACCATACAAAAAAATTGGAGGTCTAGGGCAGCGAAGTGCAAAAGCAACCATATATGAAATGCATGGTCAGGCTATGCTTCTTCTTCATGTAATGTACTTAGCTTGTTAGAAACAATTTATTTGAAAACGCATTTGCATAAATGATATGTATGTATGTATAGTATATATGTACATAGATATTTTCTTTGTCAGTGTCTCTTTTCGAAATAGGGATTCGTATCCACTCTAAAAACTATTCCAATGCCACATGGGTACCAGTAGAGCGAAGTGCACAAGGAGACGGCCAGATTGGAATTCCAATGTTTGTCGATGAATTCATTGGATGGAAGATTCTGTAGTTTGCATAATAAGCCTGATGAACTTTGCATATAAGGTACTTTCGACGATACATATTTTGTGAATGAGTCCATGATTGTTTCTTACAAATGTGGTTTCAGACTAGTCAGGCCAGCGTGCAAAAGGACGCTTAGCTAAAAAGGCCGGTTTTATCGATTTCAAAAACAGCTGCTCATAAGACTCCACGTCGAAACTTGAAATCTTTACAAAGCTATGCAGGATGTTTTCCTGTCATCTCTCAAGAAGGATATCGAAAGAACGCCACACAAGGTCTTAATTTTTAATTTGGTTAGTTTTGGTTTTCACTTGACATTACTTGAGTGTCTTAAATCATACGTATCTAACAGACTATGTGCGGCCGTTATATATACTTTTTTGTAACGACGTATTTTATGAATTATATCGGGTTGCGCTTCCATCATCCTCTATAAGCAGATGACCTCGAGCTATAGATACTCTGCTATTAAAAACTTTAATGACTACAGTGTTCTTCAAGCGAAACTTGATTGACTTTATTCTTGGTGTATGCGGACTCACCTGTTCCTCCACATCTCTGCCTACTTGGACACGAAACTGATTTTCTCCACTTCTATTCTTCTTTCAAATGGAGACCGTACCATTTTTCATATCGATCGCCGCAAGCTACTTTATGTCATCGATCGATATTGATCAGAGCGCTTTTCATGGCATTTTTAAGACGTTTTTGAGGTTAGGTTTGTATGGAGCTATGCTTCGATCACGCAAACTGCGTGTTTTTCTTGATTTATGTCCATAAATGTTGCAAACGGAAAATTTTGGTTCTAGGCCGACTCGCTGTTTTCAATAAAATCACTACTCCAAATTAGCTCGAAGCTTGGCAACTAACTAACTAAATAATAAAATGCAGACGAACCCTGTTATGTAGAATGCCTATGAGTCTTCTACTCTGGCTGCGAAGCTCCACTCATTAAACTCGCATGCAAATGCTACGCTTCCTCTTCTTGCTGCTCTCTTGCTGCTACCACATTGCAGCACTTGTCCCACCTCTTTTGCGGCACGGCAAAGCAAAGCAAACTTCGCGCGCCGTTTATTTCCTCATTTTGCTTTTGTGTAGGTTCCTTTCAAAGTAGGTCAAGGTTACTGGATGCTTTAGCTGTATTTACGCAGGCATGCTGATGGATTTCTTTTGAAGCGCACCCAATGCAGCTACTGTTTTGAATTACTTGTGTCAGTTGATGACGATTTGTCGGGCTGGCTGTCAACGATTGTTATGCACTATTTCGTATTTGTTCTATGTAGTTGCTGTGCGAGCTACATAGTACGTTGCTGTTGTTGACATTGATTACAAGTGATGGCATTTTATGGCGTTCCCATTTGCTGACGTCGTCAAGAGCTCGTAACAGATTCTTGTTTTTTTTTTGCTCTTCTCACTGATTTTACAACGCTTTTTTTTTAGTGATGCAGCTTACTTACTTTTCGTCTGCACCCCACTCCTTTCGTTTCCTTTTCACTTTCGCATTTCGCTTGAGGCTCTTAAATTGAATTTAATGTTACATTTATCATAATTTTGTGACAACTTCGCTTGCGATGGCGACAGTATAATTTGCCCAAAAACCCTTCTGCGTGGGCGGGGCAGTCAGCGCAGCGTGGTCGCCACGAATGCATTTCTTAACGTTCGGGATTTTCATGTCACGTAGGCGAAAGAATTTTCACTTTTTCCAGAAAGTAATAATTTTTCGTTTTCTTTTCTTTAAAGGAATGTGGCCATGATACGTTCTATTTTTAGTGTGTTTATTGCTTTTGCGCAAATGCGAATTTGATTATGCTTCAAAAAATTTTCATTTTTTTGAGACTTATTTTTCACGCTTATGTGCATTGTGGATTGCAAAGAGCTTTGAATTGTAGCACGTTTTAGACATCATTAATTTGAGATAAATATGAAAATCCCCAAAAACTTTGCTAACAGACTCACTTGATGCGCTGTTAAATAATGGCGACAATGGCAGCAACTGCTGCTCGTGGAACTTATGCAAGAATTAATTCCGTTATTCCATTGCAAATATAAACTCTAAGAAAAAGCATGTGCAGCCATATACTTTGCCATTGCCAAAAAGTTGTGGACATGAAGCAAAAAACGATGTACCAAAAATTGTATATTCATTTTTGAACTAAATTTGTCTTCAGTTATTAAAAAAAACAGTTCCAAAAAAATTAGGAGCTGGACTGTTATATTCATTGGAAGGCACATGCAGTTCTCGTTCTCGTAAGGCAGCTATGAAAAAATTGTCCAAAAAAACATTTGGACCTAGGTTGAGCGGGTTGGGATTGATTTCATTTGGCGAATGCGAAACTCTATTCAAATTGTTGTAACAATTCTTTAAAATTCTATTTTCATTGAAATTTGAAGATCTAATAATTCGACTGTTTTTTTTTGTTTTTATTTTTGTGCTGGTAGCACTACGCGTGCGGACATACGACACTTACCTAGCGAGAGCTTCTCACCAGAATCGGGGGGCAGTGTGAAGCCTAGCAGTGCCATTGAGGCTATCAGTACGCACGGCACAATTAGGTTAAAAAAACAGTACAAAGTTTTCCGTCGTATTAAAATGGCGAACGTTATGTCAATATAAGGTTCTGGGCAGCAATTATAGTAGATTTCATTTCGTTTACCGGGCACGCCTGCAAAGAGAATGGACGTGAAGTACGTTCGACGGTGAGAATGCAAAGAGAAAGAGAGGATTGTTTTTAATTATTAGTAGTTGGTTTTTTTTTTTTTTGTTTTTGGAGAGAGGGAAAGAGAGAAAGAGAAAGTGGCGCATTAGATAGCAGCAGTAAGATATTAGTTTAAAATACATATGTATGTATATAATGAATATAGTATGTATGTATATATATGCATATAAATGTTTATAAGTAATTGCTAGTGAAATTTTGTTGGGTGTTTTGTTGTTGTTGTTTTTTTTTTACAATTTATTTAAATATTATGAGCAAAAAATATGTTAAAGCAAAAGAATAAATTATGACAATTTCTATTTATAAGCTGTGAGTTAGTTATTTAGTATGTTTTTAGTTAAATATTTTTAGAATTTGCGTATTTAAATTTGCTATGCAACTTTTCATGAAATGCCTTTCTTTCATTTTCAAGCCACCGCTGCCATACCTAGCAGATCCCATTCGCCGTTCGTTATGAAACTTGAAATGTCACCACCGGCCTCGTCTTGCAGCTGCAAGTCCAGCTGGAAAGAGAAAGAAATTTAATTGGTTATGATAAATTTGTTGAGAAATTAAAAAAAAAAAATTAAAGTAAAATAAAAAAAAAAAAAAAAAAAAAACAATTCTATAAAATAAAATAAATAAAATAAAAATAAATAAATAAATAAATAAATAAATAAATAAATAAAATAAAATCAAATAAAATAAAATAAAAAAAAAAAATAAAAATAAAATAAGCTAAATAAAATAAAATAAATAAAAAGAAGAATAAAATAAAAAAGATAATTAGGAGTGCAAAATTTTTATGAAAACTTCTATAAAGTATGGAATTTCGATTTTTGGAGTTTTTGTTGTAGTATTAGCCATAAATAATTTTCAAGAGGCTTCCCTCAGGAGCCCTTTGTCGGTGGAGAAATTGAGGCAGGTAATTGAATTCTCTTGTCTTTGCTCTCGAAGATGTAAAGCCCCATTATTTTTTTTTTGTACCAGCCTCCAATTCAAATTTCTTTAAAAGTTTATAGATTTTCTGAGGTAAACCGTAAGTAAAAATGCATCAATTGAGAAAAAATCAAATTCTTATCTTCGAATTACTTGCATCAATTGACGGATCGAAGTAGAACTAAAAAATCGACAAAAAAAAGCGAATCGGAAGGGCTCGACTAATCGATCATCGATTAAATCGATTTAAAAACGGCATCTCTAAAAATAACCCCTCTCTAAGTCGGAGGTGTCAGTTAATAAAGTTATGGCAACGGTTTTCTAGCATATCGAAGAAGTCATCTTCGCAGACTTCTTTGGGCAAAATAAGACAATCACATAAACTCACATACATATTTAGCTGTGATTCTAAAAAATAGAAACTGTAAATAAATTTTGAATAAAAAAACAACGGCATTAATTCTCATAAAAAATTTAGGAGTACCGTTAATTTCTTATGATCCAATTATCGGAACTAAACCAAATTAGTATGGGTGGTTCCAACCAACTTTCCAACAAAACAGGTCTTCGCTACCTAAAGGTGAAAAGGTGCCAAGTGCATTTTTTTTTTCAAAATTTACTTTTTAACGCAGAATGACAGATAATGCGAAATTGCATTGTACATCGATTTTTCGTCTCTCCTGAACAATTTCAAAAAAGCGAGGTTCTGGAGAGGTGGCAGCACCGTATGCAAAATGGTCTCGAAACGGTGTTGAAAAATAAAGTTTTATAAACTTACATATTTCGTGTGTTTAATTTGATCCGTCCAGTTAACCATTCAAGAATGAAAAAAATTTACATATAAAAATTATGCTACTAGTTCGCAAGCGCATGTATTTATGTATTTGCATACACATGCTTTTGTTTAAGAACTTGCTTCAAGGATTCAAGGATTTACCCTTTTCATTTTCTACTCACTGCTTTCTTTACAATTAAGCAACTATTCGAGTGATTTAATTAGCTTGACAGTATTTTAGCATTTCACAATTCCATTAGCCGTATTTTATTTACTTGCCACGAAATTTTATGTCAACAAAGTGAAAGGAATTTTCTATTTTATTTACATATACAATTCAAATGTAGAGCAGCATGAAAGTCGACGAAGAAATTCAGATAGAAATTCTAAAGAATTTTACTGCTGCCATCGTACAATTGTTTCACCACGGCCAATGTCATTCGAAATTCGCCACTCAGCAGCAAGTTTCTTGCAGTTTTTGCTAGTTTTGCATTGGATTGAAATGTGCGCAGGGTTTTCGAAAGTTTCGTTTGAGAACAGGCACTTTTTATGTAGTTTCTTAGGTATTCTTGACTAGGCTGTTTACAAGTTAAGAAGTCCTTATCGCTGAAAAAGCTGAATTTATTTCGGAAAATTTACGCATTTGTGGCGTTAAATAGTTACTATTTCAGTTAATATTTTCTAGACTTTAACAAGTATTTTTAGTTAGTGCTATGACTCAAAATGTTCTCAAAAAAGCTGTACTACATTTTGCATCGTTATTTTTAATTTATATTATTTTATGTTATTTCATTTCATATTTGGCCATTTTTTCTTCATACATAGCTATAGTGTATCTGTAACACAAAAGTGGCATTGCTACAATATTTCGTTCTGCGAATACTACTATGCCTTTTCATATTCATTCTTGCAGCGCTCCCAAAGGAATGTGCATGCAGCCATGTTGCAGTTAACTAATAAACGCAAAGGCTTTTCAGAATTGTTGCTACATACATACACACATGCATACATTGTGCATTTACTCTTGCAAACTGACGACTGATGACTGACTACTTTTGCCTTTTGGCTGACAGATTGCTGTCGTCGTCGCTGCGTTTTGTTTGCCAGTTGCTTTGTTGCTAGTTTAGTTTGTTTGCTTACAAGGCCGCTGATGGCTGCAGGAAAAACGTGCAAGGTGCGCTCCGTTTGTGGAAAGGGAGAGCGGGTTGTTGCTGCGCGCAGCGTAGGGAGTTAGTGTAAAAGTGAAAGTAGACATGGACGCAACAACAACTGCGATTTAGTATTGTTTCCTACGAGTAATTGCTGATGTTGTACTTGTTGTTGTTTTTATTGTTACATGTACTATTTGGTTGCAGTTTTTTTTTTATTATTGCCTTTTTATGCTGCTTGTAATTTTGGTTTTCAGCCTGGCTATTTGCAAGGCTACATACATACACTGCCGGAACAAAGTATTGGCACAGCAAATTTTTCACAATATATGCAACAATTTTTATTCTAATATTTTTCCGCTAATTTTGTATAAAAATATGGTTCATTCAACAAAAGCAAAAACATAAAAATATAATTCCTAAATATTGTTCCAAAGTCGCGAAAATTCAGCAAATTTACATCAAAATTTTCAACTTTTTAATCAGGTATTTTAGATGTTTTTTTTTGAGTTTGCAGTTTTGCAGCCCATTAAATTCTAGTAAAAAATGCAAGTTCAGAGTTAGTCAAAACACGCGTTGATTTTTGAGAATTTTTTTTCGTTGAAGGTTTTCTCCAAATAAATAATTTCCAAAAAAAATTTGTGTATGGTAAAAATCAACGGTAATTCTTAGCTACTTAAAACTTGCACTTTATTATAATAAAATTGATTGGGCTACAAATCTGCATACCCCAAAAAAAAGCTAGAAAAATTTGATCAAAGAGTTGAAAATTTGCATGAAAATTTGCTGAATTTTTGCGAGTTTTTCACAAAGTTTAGGAATTATGTTTTTATGTTTTTGGATGTAGAATGCACCATATTTTTATACATATATAAAATTAGCGGAAAAATATTAGAATGAAAATTGTTACATATATGTATTGTGAAAAATTCGCTGTGCCAATACTTTGTTCCGGCAGTGTATGTGTTTGGGAGAAACTATATGTATGTAGTTCGGCATTGAAAAGATGAACCCATTCTACTTATGTAAATATATACGAACATATTTACCTTCGTTTAAATTGTAAATAAAAAGTTGTATATTTTTCTTTTAACGAAAAGTAAATAAAAGCTTGTAGAGCCGCAGTGTCTTCGGAAGCTATGAATATAAAAGTTAATTTACATTTCTTTTTTTTTAATTTTTGAGTAAAATATATGTGAAATTTTATTAAAACAATTTAACTGACTTTAGAAAGTTTGACTTTGTGATAAAAAATAATAAGTTTCCTTAACAAATTTTATATATTTATTAAGCGTCTGTTGAAATACTATGATGGCTACGGATAGTTAAAATATTGAAATTAAATTTGAGAACTCACTGGAATATTGCTTTGAAGGGAAAATGGCAAATCTCGAGATAAGTGGTTTTAATGAAATACCACACATATTCATTCATTCATATATGTATGTATTAAAGGCACATTTATAAACAATTACTTTTGTTGAGATCTAAATATAGTTAGTATAAAGCTAGTCAGAGAAGGGGGCAACAATTATGTAAGCAAGTGCATGAGCTATGTAGAGGAAATTAGATTAATGAAAAATTGAAGACTTCGTTTTGGTTTAAATTAAAAGTTCGCAACAAAGCCTACTGCAAATTTTGTTTGCTAATTTCCATGGCCAAAAATTATTCCACAAACTTTTTCAGTTTGACACCATCCATTTCATTAGAAATGCCAACTTTTCTGTTGCCAACTACTTCAAACTTATTTAGGCGTACGGAATGGGCTAGCAATTGAAGAGTGGCGCATAAATAAAGGAAAACATAAGAAGTAACCCTGTCGGAAATGAGATTGGATGGCAGAAAAGGGGAGTTCAACCTTGATGTTTTTATTTAAGAGCAAACTATTGAGAAAAATCTATTTCAGACTACACTGGTTTACAGAAAAATTTTTTTTGTAAGCCACTATCCAATTCCTATTTATGTAAAATTTCTCGTTGATTCTGAAAATCGAGTTAATTTTTTTTGTAAAGCATTCGTCTTCGAGATATTTGCAATTTACCGTTACTCAGTCAAAGAAAAGTAGTTAATTTGAAATTTGGGAAATGGAGTTTTCCGTAAAATATAAGTAATCAATAATTCCAGATTTTTTGATGAAAAAATGAAAAAAAAATTCGAACTTTAACAGGGTACAAATTAAAAGCATAACAGATTTTGTGTAAATTTTTTGCATTTGTATTAAAGAATGTTCCGTTACAAAAAAAATCAAGCTACTAATGAAGAAAATCTATGGACAAGTAAAGGAGGAATGAGTGGTCAAGTGAAAATGCGCAAAAATTGTTTAGCCATCATCGATTCGCCAACAGTTAGCAAGTGGCGAAACGAACGAACTCAATGAGGTACACCCAAACTCGCTATCGTCTGTCCGTGCTAGCTAACTTTGTTGTTGTTTTCACATGCAAAATTTTTCGTTAAGCGACAGTAACTCAAACATAGGAAGTAGGGAAGTGGTGAATCGATGACGACGGCTTTTGTATGAAAAATGAGCAGGAAAGAATGTTACTCATACGCCATGTGCACCACTAAAAACTCATTCTTGTTTACTCATCTATTTTCTTCATCGCTACCCTATTTTTTTTTTAAAGGAATAGACTTTCATATAAAAAAAAAAATTGACAAAAAA